GTCTTGTTGTATAAATTATTATTCTAAGCATATTTTGTTTCTACAGCTACTCATGAGGGTACAAGAGGGTGTTTGAGGAATATGCACAGTTCCTCGGCCAAAATTTTCCAAATTTGAACATTGTTGGTGACAATTACCCTCCTCCTCGTCCAAGACAGATGCTAGCATCATTTTTGAGCATTGCTAAGATGGTTGTAATAGGACTAATCATATTTGGGGAAAGAATGCAAATATTTGAATCATTAAACGTCAATCCTCCATCAATATATCAGTGGGCTATTCAAAACAAGGTAAATTTTTATTTTCATCTATTTATTCATACATTCATTTTTACATACATTACTGACCCATGCCTAGGTGTTTTTTTCATTGTCAAAAGATTTCTAAATAGTTAATAATAATAATAATAATCTTAATAGTATCTTGTTACTACTGGCTTTAATGAATACAGGAAACCCAAATACTCTATAATATATATATATAATATATTATATTGTAACAGGGATAGCCGCAGTAAAATCACTATCATTTTATAACGAGTATTGCTTGCAAGTGTTAATGATGCATTATTTTTCATTTTCAGATGTATTCCTGTATCTTACTATTTTTTATTTGCAATACGATAGAAGGTCAATTAATTTCTACTGGGGCATTTGAAGTAACGTTTAATGGTAAGAAAAACATATTATTTGTTTCTAGAATATTCTACAGTAGGTTGTGTAACCTAGGAAACACAGTTTGCAGAAAAATTTCTGCTGTTCTAACATTTGTCAATCAAAAAGGAACAATATCAATTATTTATTACTTATTCTGATCAACAGAATCCAAACACTAAAATCTTGCAACCTTAATATTACTATTAGAGTGCAACCTAAATATTGCTTACAGTGATATTAAATTATTGTTTCCTATTGTTTAAGTAGTGCAATTCAGGTCAAATGTCAAACTTCACATGAGCCGACCTAATTGAAACAATGGATAACAAGGTGATCTACTTTGATGTTTTTAGGTTCGGCTCATGTGAAATTCTGCGTTTAACCTTAGTCTAAGTGTTGCCCACTTTTTGTGTTTTAACTCTAACAGTCTGCTACCTAAATAGTGTTAGATGCACAAACTTGTGAATATTCCATGGTCAACTTTTGTTTGTAACTATTTGAAATCTTCACGCAAATAACTAGTAATAGTAATAAAAAGAAATTGATAACTTGGCTATTCTTTTTTTGTCAGATATTCCTGTATGGTCAAAACTTCAGGCAGGACGATTACCATCACCGTCTGAACTTCATCAAATAGTTGAGAACCAGCTGAAATTTGCCCCAAGCCAATAGGTAACATGAATAAACATTTTTTCTTGTGGTAACACTCATTTAATAGGTGTCACATTGACTGGGTGATCTACAAAAAACACTTGGTGCAACTATCTTTATTCACACTTCGTAGAGTGCACACATATATCCGTGAAACAAAAACAAAGATGTACTGTCGATGGCARCTATTTTGCTGCTATCTTTACAATATAGGGTATATAACTGGAGCAGAACATTGGGAACAAACCTCTAGGCATCTGTTTGGTTCATGCCTGAACGAATTCTTAGCTATTTTACAACTGCCTGGCTAGTTTGTTTCTCAGAAATATTGCATGCCACTATGAAAATGAAAGCATATGCAATGAAACATTAAGTGATTTTACTGATTCTCCTCTCTACAGTAATGGCCAACGAAGACATGAAATACATTTTATTGATTAATTTGTTTGTTTGGTTTCCACAGATGTAATTGTCTTAATTGCGAGTGCATAGTATATGAAGATCCTGGCATAAAGTGGCTAGCCACACGCCTGGATTGGATGGGAAGCAAGCATTCCACTATGATATTCCTAATTAATACAACTACATATACTGGCATGAGCAAAACAAAGCCATCAGTAAAGCAGCCTGGACGATAGATTAGTAACATTTACAGATATCATGTATATTTCTCAATAAAAAGGATTTAAATTATGCATAATAATGTACTTGAAGATCAGTGCAAATCAGCTCTTGTAAAAATGAATTATTCTAAAATGTTTGTTTTTTTCAATTTCTTGTCGATCTGAACAGCATCGACATATATATAGCAATCTGCRTATACAAAGGACTAATTCTTATTGGTGTAAATTTTTTTTAACTTTCTTGTTAGGATTCTTAATGATGCTGCTCTGTCAAACTGCTTGCTTGTTCTTATAAATAACTATAGAAGAATTTCTGATAGTTATATCTTAATCTATGTATAACAGTATAAATATAACAAAATCTCTATTGAGCAGACCCATTATTAAGTCCGCACCCTTCATTAAATGGAAAACTAGTTGAATGTCTAATGTAAAACAACCCTCTATTCAGCAGTCACCCTGTATTAGACACCAGGCAAAGTCCTGTAGGTGGCAGCTTATAGAGGTATCACTTGATCCTGTAAAATTTTGATGATTTGTACAATTAATTATTGTAAACTGGTTTATGCAATAAATAAAATGAATTCAATGCAGCAATAATAAGGCAGGAGTAAAAAGATTCTTTACTAGATAAAAACCAAAATTGAGGAAGGTTATTATATATGATCAAATGAAGAAAGGGTGTAACTGGAAGTCACTTTTGCCTCTGACTTTAGTTGCTTTTCGTTCATCTCTGATGAAGGCTGTTGGTTTACTTGTGTATTTCTAATGCAGTTCCCTATTGTAAATCACCAATGTGACAGGTTTACTGTTGAAAGAAATAAATATTATTATTATTATTACAGTTGAAACATATGAAGAAATGACAACAAAAATCAGATATGAGCATATTTTCGTTTTTATTTATTTTTTGTTTTTATTCCAGTGTTTCTTCTGCAAAATCCAACGAGTCATAACAAAAGAAACTAATACTGTAATGGGTTCCCTGTGGTAAATGACAAACTTTTTCCTATCCTCCCCTCCCTAGACCTTTTTCATTGTTCTTAACATGACGTCATGTTTAAGACCACGCATGCGTACTAGTAATCAACAAGAAGGCGAGAAGAAAAAGAAGAAAGATAGACTTCAAAGATGTTAGATCTTTTTACTATATTCTCCAAGGGAGGAATCGTCCTTTGGTGCTTTCAAGGAACTTATCAGTCCTTCACACTACCTGTAAATGAACTCATTCGTGGCGTTATTCTACAAGTAAGAGAAAATCCTATATTTTCCCAATCAACATCCGGTACTTAGGCTGATTCATCATAGTGTTTTCTCGACATCTTACTTCGTAAACGTTCATTTTCTCGTCTTTATATTCTTCTTTTTCGATTTTAGGAGCGTGGAGGTGGTAATGCCTTCAACCATGAGTCGCTTACTTTAAAATACAAGTTGGATAATGAATTTGAACTCGTATTTGTGGTAAGAAAACTGTGTTCTTTAATCTTTATAACTAAATTAAAACTGTGACGTCTCCTTTTCTTTCTGGTTTGATTGACGCTTTTTCTCTTGATTTCTCTAAAACAACCCTTTCGATCCTGTCGGTGTTACTTTATTCCTTTCCCTGTGTTGCATCAGAATCATAAAAAAATATCATCTTCCACAAGGATATATTTTTGAAACAGTGGTAATGCCCCTCACTACATCAATTAGCCCTGAATTATTAGTAAGCCTCGGAGAAGGGGGGATGGGGGGAGGGGGGGTGGCCTACTCCCATATGTAGCCTATACAGGGATGTTCCTCAGGATAGGGTATATCTTTGGGGGATTTTGATATTAGGCAATGTATAGRATTTTCATGAATAGGATCACAATTCTTGGTTCTGAGGTTAGAGTAAGAGTACTTTATCTAGCATTTCCATTCTTTAGGTTGCATTCCAAAAGATACTCCATTTATCATACATTGACAAGCTGTTAGACGACATGCAATTGGAGTTCAGGGACAAGTACAAGGATGATCTGAACAAGGGAGTAATACGAAACTTTGAGTTCAATGAAGAATTCAATCGTATACTCAAGAATGCAGAAATAAGTAATAAAGTACAAGCATTGGCTCCCAAAAAGATGCGTACGTTTGAACAATCTGATAAATCGAAAAAGACAGTCTCGTCTATGATTGTGAAAGAGAATGGCAATGATGTCAAAAGTGGGAAAACTGGGAAAGGGAAGAAAAATGAACAAAAAGAAGGTATGTTTGAGAACAGAGCGCTTTTTTAGTTTATGAGTGATATGCTCATGTTACATTGTACATATACCTTAGTGTTATCTATATGTAATTGTGATCAGAATCAGAAACCATTTGTTATTTTGTCAGGTCATACCTTCAACCGCACTCTATCGTCTAATAACCCTCCTTCTAACCTTATCCCCTTCATTTGCTTCCTTTCCTAGAGATTGTTATTTATTTTCCCCCCTTGAAGTCCCCCAAAAAATAACTATCCCCCCGGGCAATCTCTCGTAGCTTCTTCTAAAAATGTTGCATCCCATCCAATTCTCTGAAAACACTTTTCAAACCCCCCCCATTTTACTGGTGCCGATCCCCCCTAAATTTCACATGCCCCCCCCTCTGCCATACATTATGAACGTAGCCTTAAATGATATGAAATGTTTGTATCTATTGCCAGCACAACCTGACAAGCCCAAGCCCCCCAAAGCACCAGAAACAAACAATAGAACAGCAGAAAATGGCTTGACCCCTGAAGAAATAATACAGAAAAACAAAGAGAAGCTGATGAGGAAGCTGGCTGGGAAACCACCAAAACCAGCAAGGTAAAGATTGTTCAATTGTGGATAATTAGTTTAATGGAGGCTAGATAAGGGGTGAGTTACTGCAGAGTATTTTGCGGGATCCAATTGGAATTAACAATTGTCGAGTTYGATGGGAATAATGAAAGTCAAAAAGAACAATTCATGTAACTTCTAGTGTGTGAATTGCATCGAAACTTTTAAAAAACTGTCTTGCAATGATTATCATACCATAGACTATACCATCTATGCATCCCATGATTGATTTTTTCGACAAACTAAACTTATATTTTGTTAAAATGCAGCAGCAAGTCATCACCTGCTGCTCGTAAAGAGCGGAAGAAGGAGAAGAGGCAATGGGAGCAGTCTGGTAGTGCCAAAGACTTGGAGGTTCTAGATTTCAGTGGTGCTAATGGACAAAAAGACAATGCTGATGAAGAAGAAGAGGAAATCAAACACTTGGTATGTGCTGTCAATCTTAGTTTGATGATGATAGTAGAGTTAGTGTGTTTCTACATGAATGCTATATCTTTAATAAGCAATAATGACTGCTCAGTGGTTTAACATGATGACCAGCTATATCAGGCTGATAAACATGTGACTACTAAGTCAATGTCAACAGTCAAGAGGGCTGGCCTAAGAGGTGTTTGGCAGGACAAATGATAATTATTTTGACATGACATTGTCTGCTGATCAGACTTTTTTTAGCCATGTTAAGTGTCAAATACTACCACAACTGTGGTGCATAGTGCTCTTGTGAGTAGTTCAACCATCAATACTAATAGGAATTTTGCTTTTGAAGTTGGCAATGAAAGGTTCAATGGAAGGGCAGATAAAGGAAATGGAATATGAAAGTTCCAGTGAAGAAGAAATAGAAGATGAAATTGAATTGAAAGAGGAGAAGAATGTCAATGCTACTGCAAATCAAAGGTGAGGAAAGAAGGATTCCTTTGTCTTTTATCAATATTATTGCTTGAATTCAATCAGCAAAATTATTCTAGTATCAATCTTGAATATAAACTCAGGGCTTAAAATAATAGCTGGACATTGCACAATGTCCACCCAGAATAGACCTTCACGGCTTGGGCGTAATGTTGTCCCATTTCAGACCACGTGTCATTCATTTGAGAATAAGACTCTTTGTTGGAGTTGTATCCATATTCATGTGCCTTCTAATGTGCAACTGTGCCCAACCATTAAACAAAGAAATGATACTCTATGGAACGACACGTGGTCTGAAATTGGACAACATTATGCCCAAGCCAAGGAGGTCTATTGGACCTCGTCCAGTCAAACCTTTGCCTTGTCAGTCAATTTGAGCCAAAAATAAGGTATTACTAAGCTAAAACTAGTTTAGCCTGTGGATCATGACTGGCTACTGATTGGCCTATTATTCTGAGCCCTGAAACTGCAGACCTCTCACATCAAATCTGGAGTGTCAGGTTCAATTCCTTGATTCTGCATCACTTGTGAGCAGAGTTTCTAATATTTCCAATATTGATTTGAGCAAGGATTTTTATCTGTTTTCCTCCCTCTGCAAAACCTAACTAGCTAAATTCCAATTTGATCTAGAAGTTAGCTGTGCCCTAACTTTGACAAATACAGAGGTTTCAAGGTTTGATAAAATTATAAAGTTTGGAGCTTTACATGCAATTTTTTTTCCTTCAGTAATGCTGGCCTTACTGGCGGAGTCTTCTCATTCTTCAAAGGTCTTGCAGGGCAGAAAACACTAACACCTGAACAGATTGAACCTGTGCTGGACAAGATGAGAGACCATTTGATTGGTAAGTTATCTTGTCACCTTCCTCTACCCCTTGAAAAAAGGTCCATGAGAAAGCAAGTATACCCTTTTACGATTATTCATTCCAACYGCTAGCAATAAAGATTCCCAGGACTTGAAAGCCATTTTTCCATAGGTGATAGGCTGTCGAGTTGCAGGAACATTTATCACTCACAATATCATTTGAATGCACTCAGGTTGTTGCAAATTTATTTGCTGGAGGCTAAAACGTCAGTTAGGTTGCAGAAATATGGAACAGGCTGTAATTGAGTGTTTGCATTATCAAATCAATATAGAATGTCAGTACCTGTAAACGATTGATTAACTTCACCAGCTATTCAATCTAAAATACAGTCATTATGTTTCCTAGGTAAGAATGTTGCCGCCAACATCGCTGATCAGTTGTGTCAGTCAGTGTCTAGCAAGCTAAATGGAAAGGTTATTGGCACATTCAGTGGTAAGATATCCTAAAAATATGGTATTTGCTGTGGAATATTATAAACAAGGAAATATTTTAAGGCAAATAGCAGAATTTGAGAGATTAGAGTTAAAAAGTAGAGAAACTATACTCAATGCCTGTTAATAACTATTTATCATATATTAACATTCTAACTTATAATTCAATGGTATTCTTGTACATAGGATGCACATTGAAATAAAATACCATATCCACTACATTTTATAGGTTTATTTTATGCTATTTTAATGATCGTTATTGAATGTTTGCTATCAGGTATTGCATCAACTGTGAAGGCCAGCCTAGAGGAGTCTCTGATTCAGATTCTGTCACCTCGTCGCAGGGTGGACATCTTGCGCGATGCCATGGAGATAAAAGGGCGTGGCCACCCTTATGTTATTACCTTCTGCGGGGTCAACGGTGTTGGTAAATCCACTAACCTGGCCAAGGTAAGAAGTGTCATCAAACTGCACAATATGTTTGTACCCAAGCTACACCACCAATGCACTATGTTCACTATCTCAGGAAAGTCTTCTTTCTTCAGTCTTACTTTGAGTTTCATTTATTTCTTAGGTGTGTTTTTGGCTGCTTGAGAATCGTTTCCGCGTCATGATTGCAGCATGTGATACCTTCCGCGCAGGTGCAGTGGAACAGCTACGTACCCATGTACGTCATCTGAATGCCCTACACCCACCCCCCAAGGAAAATGGCCCACCATCTGTCATGTTGTATGAGAAAGGCTATGGCAAGGATGCTGCAGCTATCGCCATGGATGCAATTAATTTTGGTAAGAGTTTGGTCAATCATTTCAAAATATAATTGGTCACTCTTGTCACTTTTCACGAAGCGTTGTGTGACAAACAGTTTCTATAAGAACTTAGCCCTTTGGTGTTTTTTAAAGATAGACATAACCGGATAACCTGAAGAAAAATCTCAAAGCAACATACCTTTCTCAAATTCAAACAACCTACCATTGCCTTGAGTATTATTTCTTTTCTTGCAAGTATGCGCTTGGGAAGATGTCTTAGTATGGTAGCATAAACGAAGATTGTGACGCATGGGCTGAAAGGGAAAAAAATATAACGCGCAAACTAAAGAGGCCAAACCACAAAAAGCAACTCCATTTGTTAGGGGGTGTTTTCGTATTTCCTCCACAAGTTCTTTAATTTTTTTTCTTCCTTTTCTTCTCTTTGTTTAGCGCGTGAACAGCGTATTGATGTAGTGTTGGTGGACACGGCAGGAAGAATGCAGGATAATGAACCACTGATGCGGGCTCTGTCCAAGGTAAGTGAGGCCCACATTACCATTAAATTATAAAACAGTTAACTATATAAGTAACTTCTACAATAAGCCTTTTTTAGTTCGATAATATATCAGGATACAGTGTGTTACAGCTGCGCATGCTCAGGAAATTGGCGGGAAAATAGTTGAGGCTTTGCGTGATACCTTGCAGTAGACCTTATTCGTGGGTTGACAATGTTTTCCCAATTCAGCGTGACGAACCTCCAGGGGATTCATTTTTTTGTTGTTGTTGTTGTTGTTTTTACTCTTCGAAACATTCATGAGTATCCCAAAGGATACGAAGGGAATAACGATGATATCCCGACGAGTTTCAAAACAATAGCTCTTTATTCCCCCAGAGGTTTGTCACGCTGAATTGGAAAAACATTGTCACACCACGAATAAGGTCTAATACTTTCTCCTTTTCCAGCTGATCAAGATCAATAACCCTGACCTGGTTCTGTTCGTCGGGGAGGCGCTGGTTGGAAACGAAGCTGTTGACCAGCTTTCAAAGTTCAACCAAGCTTTGGCTGACTACTCAAGCCAAGAAAATCCACGTCTGATTGATGGGATTGTACTTACTAAGTTTGACACTATTGATGACAAGGTAAGCATTGCGTTACCCCTTCCTCCTAGTGGGAATTATTTCACACGTACACGACCCCCTGAATGTGCATTCTTTACTGTACCATTGGTATTTGTGAATACTTAGACACTGAAAACTAAACGAGCCTGTAATCAAGGAACACGGCGGTAATTTGGAACTCGAAAAAAGTCTATCTCAAAGTGTATTGAAGTTGTGCATTATTTGCCTACTTTTGGTATTTGTCAATATTTTGACATCAAAATAAGGCTAACAGTGAGTATGAGTCTTCAATCAATGCACACAGCGGTATTTTACGAATTCAAAAAGGTATCTTCAGTTTCCCAATGGAGCTAAGAGGACAATATCATTTAAAAATATGTAATATAATTTGTCAGGTTGGTGCGGCAATCTCGATGACCTACACCACAGGCCAGCCTATAGTGTTTGTAGGCACAGGACAGACCTACCGAGATCTAAAGAATCTGAATGCAAAGGCTGTGGTACACGCCCTCTTGAAGGCTTARACAGTCTAATGACGATTAATAATAATGAATATTTATTATAAATATATTGAGGACATAGTTATTTTAACTCTTAGCGTATGCACCTGTTATTCTACATAACCCGATATCGTAGTTCCAGTCGTTCAGAATGAAACGGCGTACTTAAAATATCTATCGATATCTAATAATTCTGCTAGGCATACCTAGGACATTCGGAGACATGCAGATTACTCTCTGTAGGAGGGTGCAATTTTGGTACAGGGGGTTTCGCCGCTCTCTCTCCTTTGTAAGAAGGCCCTCGAGTACCCATACCCCTCATTGGTGGGGTAGTCTGTATAGGGTGCTATACATGCTCTCCAGTAGCTTTGGAAGTATGCGCTTTTTAAGTTGGCTAAAAACCTTCATAATTACCTCCAAATACCAAATGCTTCACTTCCAAATATGCTTTCACACTGCTCAAGTGACACAACAAACAAATTCAATCTTCTGCGCAAAATCTTAATTTATTTTCGTTATGAAAACACCAAATTTTCCCTTGTAGCAGTCTCCCTCGTTGGCGATTCTTGGCATTGTCAACGAGGGAGACACTGCTAGCAGGGAACACCAAATTACAAAGAACTTTTAAATTTGTTGAACTAAAATTGATCATAAAAATTAATTATCTATTTTAAATCTGTAAAGATAGTGAAATCGTATAAACTTAAAAGATAATAAAACATTAGAAGGTGGTACAATAATGAGTACTTTGTCCGCTAAGTTTTGTTTCTTTTTGGGTGGTAGAGGGGTACAACTGAGGTATTCCCAGATCCCTCGCGATTTTCAGACGTCATGTCTTTGCCATGAGAACGAACATTACGTTACCATAGTGATCTTGCATAAGTCAAGTAAAAGGAATTAAACTTAATCGTTACTAAAATAAATAGTCATTTAATAGAAAAATTATTTTTCGTTGTCTCTAAATAATGACTCGATAAATAAACTAAATAGTAAACATTTTAATGCTTTAAATGGACTTTATATTATGAGGTGATAGACGTGTTTATTCCGGCACTCTTTTTTTAAGTATTCTTCCTTCCGCATCCAAAACCTTCAATATTGTTATTCTATTTCGACAAAATTCCCGCATCTTCCTCCCACTCAGTTCCCGACCACATGTATCCGGGTAATCTTGAAAACGGAATTTTTTGATTTCGTTCTTTGAAAAATTCCGTCCACAGTAATGTATTTGAGTCGTTTTCGCCCGTCTACACGTACCCGTTTTCGAAAAATTGCGGTTTCAAATGGCCATAGTTAATTTCTAATAACTATGAAATGGCGTATTCGTCGGATACGCTTGGAAAAGAATATTTTTAGAAACAAGATAAATAAAAATTCCGTTTTGAGAATATCCGGAAACACGTAGACGGGGCCCCAGTTCCACTTTATTACTGCGCTGTCGTGGCTCTGTAAGACACTTGCAACATACATCAGTAATATATACGATCAGTAGTTTTCTTAAGTAAATTTTGTGGCATATTGTGAAGAGTGGAATATATCAAAATTAGATGACTGTCATATTTCATTCAATTTAAAAAAGCCACTTGAGTGTTATTTGCATGAATCAACCGAACCCAAAGAACTCTTCAACATTTGCTCATGGAAACGTTTTTAAAAGCAAGACAAACAGCGCTTTCCATCATAGACAAACTGACTTGAAGAACAATTAGTTTAATTAAGCAATAACCACTAGCGTCATATGTCCTTAGGGAGACTAAGCAAGGGATTGGAAGAGACAGAAACTCCTCTTTCTTTTTTTTTTTTTTTTTTTTTTTTTGCCCCTGCGCACGTTTTAAAACTTAAAACTTTTTTGCTTGAGACACGAAATGAGAGGAAAGGGAAAGGAAGGGGATGAAATGGAACAAAATAAGAGCAATTGAACTAAAGGAAAGGAAACAAAAGAAAACGAACCTGCCTATCTGATACTGTCTGACTCAGTAATCCAGCTTGGCAGAGGCTCAATTATTTTACGCTAGATTAACAAAAAAACGCTAGCCCACTTGACGAACTGCATGTTCCTAAAAGTATCGAGAGTTTCTCGCTTTAAAAGCTCACTTGTTCAGTGAAAAAGATATATTGCCTTTTTGACCTTGTGTATAGAAGTCAGGCTGAGTAATGCGATCTTGAATTTCAAGCACCCAGAAAGTATACAGCCCTCCAACAAAAAAGTTCACGCATAGCCGCAGTATTTACTGCTTTAATTTATTCCGCTATTCTGCTATATCACTTCTACAGGTATAGTACAGTATAATCATGAAAAGTCAGTCTGTAGAATTTTTTAAGGATAATTTTACGTCGAGCATGATGTTATTTAGTGCAGTGCTGTTGCACGTAATGGATCGGGTTCATGAGAAAATCTTGTAGTCAAATCCTGTTCAGTCACTGCACATCTTTGTCCAGTAACATTTTGTTCAGCACTTGCTACTTTAACCTTACAAATGCTGCCTGATCCCTTAAAAGACTGATAATGAGCAATTGAAAACATTACTATAGCCATAAAGATTTCTAACACTCTCATAACTGTTGTAAGCCAGTACCACGGCCAGGCAGGAACATGGTTTGTGGAAGAGAATACGCCAAATGGTCCAGCCATGGTATAGACTTGCGTTCCCCCGATCATCACTCCTCCTATTGCCGCCACAACACATGTACAAAGAATACGATGAATTTTCTTTCTCGAGCTGATTTCAGCGACCGTGTTATTTTTCATTTTATTGACGCTCTTCCACATAAGAGTGGACACGAAAGTATATAAAAACGCTAGAGTAAGACTGAAGAAGGCATATAGAAGCTGGCATAAGAATACTAGTGTTTTGAACTGAGGAGAAAAAGAAACGATCAACTCGGCTCCAAAAACGAAAAGAAAATGAGGAATTGTGATGAGCCCAATGTTACGAGCGGTGAACCAAGCCTGAAACTTTTGCTTGAGCCGTAGGGCATTGAGAAGAACCACAAATAATAAAGCATAGGAAGTTATCAAACAGGGTTGTGCGATTCCCCAAATGATATTCAAAACTGGTATCGGAATTGTCTTCTTGTGATGGTAAGCATCAACGAAAAGAAACACGCTTCTTGATGTTCCATACAACGCTAAAAAGCCAAGCAAAATGACTGAAACTTTCCTTTGGTTAGATTTATGCTTCCTCAACCTTATCAAAAACGCCAGCGAGAGAATCGCTAATRTTAAGAAGCCTGTGCCAAGTCCATACAGGTGGAATTCCCAAGCAGATCCCCAGGATTCCATCGCCTCTTTCCATTCTGGCATTGGTTCAACGTTAGATTCTGGTTCTGGCTTAGTGCTTGAAATATTGACAAATTTCTCCGGAAAAGCGATGGAATTTTCTTCTTCAGGCGAAGGTTCGTGCGTCGCCATGGCCCCGAGCTCCAGATGTAAATAAAATCAGGGCGGGAGGAGGGAGGGCGTTGAAACGGGCATACATCTATTGGCCGATCCGTGATGCGGAGAGGAGGACTGGGCACTACTCTGACTGTCAACAATGGCGGACCGTTCGTAGAGGAAGTTCGGCTGACAAGAAGATCTTTCAAAGGTAAATTTAGGCTTGTTTATCTATGTTT